TACAGCCCTCCTCCTGGAGTGTACGCTCGGCCTCCATACGATGCATGGGTTTCGCCACCACCATCAGGCCATCACGGAACACCTCGCTCATCACGTGGACCTGGCGGACCGCATGAGCAGCCATGGTATCGCGGTGTTCATTAGTTGATAACAATGATTTTTTTCTAATATGTCCTCATACACGCATGGAATTTCTTTCGTATCTCTTTAATTTTCGGTTATTTATTAGCAATGTGTTTGTTACTGCAAGAATTCTTGAAAATTCGTATTTTCTCTCTCAACAACTATATGCGCCCACGAAAACTGAAGTGAGTGTGATATGGTGGGCTACTAAAAATGTAGGGGTAGTTCTCAGTGCAGGCGAGCTAGCGTGCGAGTGGGAGAGAGAATTCGAATGAACTTTTGACTATTTGATGGTTTTTGCTACTGTTATTCTGTTTACTCAATCGACAAATTCATTTGTGTAATGATTTGTCCGCAAAGAATCAAATAAATTTGTGAAAAGATAGTTTTCGTGGGCTCAGATTGGAGCGAGTTTGACGACAGAATATCATTTTGAGGGCGGAAGTAATCACCTATTCACTTTCACGTGTTGTTCAAATTCTGGATTGGAAGCAGTATAACTGGTACCTAACAAAGTGAAACGGTAGCTCAAAGACTGATGTAGGGAAGGGTAAATTCTTCCAGTTTATCGATGTCTTGCTTCTTGACGAGACGGCGATTCGCAGAATTGAATTTTTTAAGTGGGGTTAAAATCGGTTTTCCGTTGAAATGGCTTATTCTAATTGCTTTGCTTATACGTGTGCGGGATTATTCAAGAATTTTCCTGTTTCATCATAAGTATGTAAGAAAATGCACTGTTGTTCCTTATCAAAGCTTCAAGCGTAGAATGTGAGTGGGAAGATCGTCGCTTTTTTATTTCATAGTGTAAATTGTTTCTATTATGGTACACATAAATAGACAAAGCGGTTACCATGTCTAGGAATCGACACGCGAAAGAGGTTCCACCTACAGCTTATCCAGGGCCTGGGCCACAACCAGGGCGGTCAGGCATCCAACCTCGTCCAGCTGTTTATCCGAGAAATCCGAGAGATGGGTGGGTAAAAATCTTCAGAATCAGATCTTCATCGCAATTTGCTATCCTTCATTTGCTTTTCGTTTCAGTCTGGCAGGTCAAGCCGCTTCAAATCAAATAGCCAGCGGATTAGACGCGTTGAATTTGAATCAGAAAAATCCAGAATTATTAAGCGGTATGTCTCTAGTTTTTCTTGATGTATTCGGTTTTTATGGTTGTTTTTCTTCTTAATGGCCAGGATTGTTGTTTTTTGGCAGGGTAACTTTTGAGGTAGTACAATTTGATCTTTACGGTCATTTTTATCACATCTTTTCAGCTGCATGGAACGCATTTTTCAATACGTTGAGCCATGGTGGTGCTTCACCTCAACCGCATAAACAATGGTAGTCAACAATGGTTACCATCAGGGAAATGTAATTGAGTTTATTAATAATAGTTGAAATCTCTAGTTGTTCACATCGTTTATTTTCATAGTTGATTTATTAGCGTTTGATGATGTTTCACAAAACTTGTAATTAAATCGTGTATTTTCGTTCGTGATAAAAACCACTATCACTCACTCGGTTCTTTTTTCTGAAGGTTTTCCTAATAACGAGAGAGCTTTCTCGGATGTCAGTTGTTTCGAATGATGGCGATAACTTTATACATGAGGTTTGTGCCTAATAACCCGAAGAATGAGCAACCATGGTTTGAGTTGGCAGCTCTTTTGGAATAACATATTGGTCTTCCTGCTGAAAAAATAAATATGAAAAATGGGGAAGT